CTCCATCACCCAGCTTAGGGAGGGAGGACTCCTCCAGGCACCATCACCCAGCTTAGGGAAGGAGGACTCCTCAGGCACCATCACCCAGCTTAGAGAAGGAGGACTCCTCCAGGGTTTTATCACCCCAGATTAGGGAGGAAGGACTCCTCTAGGCTTGGCCAAAGGCAGGTCTCCATGGTGCCCCCACCCCCCACCCACTGAACTGACATTTTTCTTTAGGGTGAAGGGGAGAGGCTGGACCAGGAATTTATTTGGGGTTGCATCACGTGATCTCAAACCACCTGGTCCAGGCAGAGTGGTGGCTGGAGGAGTCCTGGCTGTCTTGCCACATGGCTCTGGAAGGAAGGGTGACCTGCGGTGCTGGCTCCCCAGCTGCTCCTGAGCCCCCTGACTCTTCCTGCTGTCTGAGGTCTCACCCCGGGGGCCCTGAAAGTCCCTCCTCTTAAAGGGCCAGGAGAATGTGAGACGTGCATCTCCCTTCTTGTCCCCGGGGGGTCTGTCCACCTGCTCCACGCCCTCTGTCCTGAGAGGGACTGCCCCACCAAGAGGTTCGGAAGACTGGAGTCACAGGAACCCTCTCGGGCCAGCCACACCCTGAAAACATTGTGACTACAACTTGGGGTACAGAAAGCAGCTTGGATTGTTCCCATCCTGGGGGCCCTTCTGCTGGGGACAGAAGCTCAATCCTCTGTGGGTTTTCTCAGCCGTGTCCGGGCTTCTCCCTCCCTCCTCCTGCCAGGCAGAACTCCGGCCTGGGGGCTGACTTGGTGCAGGGGTGTGGGTCAGGTTGCTGAGAGCGGTGTTCATGGACCCCTAGGGAGCTGCGGAGGGGCCCTGGGGTCTTCTGTCCACAGAGGGGAGCAGGGCCTGGCGGGGCCCCACTTGGGTCGCTCCCTCCTGCCTCTTGCTGTGTGCCCCCGGCCAGGGGATCTTCGTTGAGTTTAGGGCAGGGCCGGACAGTCTCTGTCCGCTCCTAACCAAACGTTCGCAAGAATAATATGCTCTGATTCTTTCAGGAGACGGACTCTTCCGAAACCTTTTCTTTTAGACCGATAATTGCCATCAGTTTTAAAGGCCAGTTGAAGAACTCCATTTTCCAAATTGCTGAATTTGCTCTCGGCTGTCATCACTCACCCGAGGTGGGCAGCTGCTTCAGCCGCGTAATTTATTTAAAGAAGAAAAATCATTGCAGGGACAAAAATCCTTCAGAACATGGCCCCACCTGATGGATGCCTCAAAGCAACTTGCTGTGATGGTGACAGGTGCTTCGAGGGGCGGCTGAGGCACTGCAGGGCGGCAGGAGGAGGCCCCGAGGGCTTCGGGTCCCGCCATGATCCCCCAGGTGGAAAAGAGGGGCAAGCCCCTGGCTGAGGCCCCTGCAGAGGCCCAGGGCTGGGGGGAGCTTGCCAAGGTGAAAATGGGAAGCAGGCGTGGACGAGCGAGGTGCTGTCTGCACCCAGATGCTCAGCTGGCCGCTGAGTCCTCATTGCACTGGGAAGGGAAGGGCACCCACCGCAGCTGATGACCTTGGCCAGGACCCCAAATTCATGATCATGTCAACATTCTCCTGATTGAGGCTGGGTGTGGTGGCTAAGGCCTGTAATCCCAGCACTTTGGGAGGCCAAGGCAGATGGCTCAGTTAAGGCCAGGAGTTTGAGACCAGCCTGGCCAACACGTGAAACCCCATCTCTACTAAAAACACAAAAATTAGCCGGGCGTGGTGGCAGGTGCCTGTAATCCAAGCTACTCGAGTGGCTGAGGCAGGAGACTCACTTGAACCTGGGAGGCAGAGGTTGCAGTGAGCTGAGATCGGGGAACTGCACTCCAGCCTGAGCGACAGAGCAAGACTCCATCTCAAAAAAAAATAAACATTTCCTGATTGAAATGAAGGTAATTTTCTTGGAAGCTTGGGAAGCATGTGTTTTGCATCAGAACCAGTTTGTGAACCCCAGAAAAGAAAATCCACCCCTGATAGGAGAGCTAGGTCTGGTTCCGCCCCATGGCATGTCAGCTCTGTCCCTCCCTTACCCACAGGGCTGGCCTCTCAGTGGCTTAGCTCTCGCTGGAAGTTGTGATTCATTTGAAAATGTTGGAAAGATTCAGAGCTCTAGAACCAGAGCCCCTGGAAGGGGCAACATCCCACAGGTGGAGAGGGCGCTGGGAGAGCAGGTGTGTGGAGCAGGTAGGAGTCCCGGCCGCATGCTCAGCTGCGTGGGGAACGTGCCCCTGCTTCTCCGCACTGCCAGAGGGTGGAGGCTTCTGAATCCCCGACCTGCTCTTCAGCATTGGGACCTCCAGCAGCCCTGCCTTGTCCTTGTCCCCAGGCTCCTCCCCCTTGGCCCTTCATCCCTGTCTGTGCAGGGCGTCCTCCTGTCCTTGGGGAGGGGCCAATGCTGCCTGGCCTTGCCCCCACCCAAGTCCCTCGCTGCTTCCCCACTGCAGCCCCTACCTGGCTTGGGTGAGGTCCTTGATGTCCTGCCGCCCCCACCTCTCCCTGGCCCCCTTCCAGGTTCCAGAATTCCACTTGCCTGTGTCAGAAACGCAGCTCAAACCCACCCATGTGCAAAGCTTGTGGGCCTGGGAGGCCCAGGGCATGCTTACCCCCAGAGGTCACACAGGCTGACCAGGAGGGCTTTCTCTGCCTTCTTGTCCTTCCTGCTCTCTTACTGCCCTGTCTACCTCTGCTTCCTGGCCTGTGGACCCTCCCAGGAAGGTGGATCAGCTGGTACAACATGCCCATGCTCCGAGCAAGCAGCCAAGCTCTGGCCCGCAGTGGTGGCAGATGATGGTGCAGAAAGGGCTCAGAAATAGCGGCGTGGGGGGGGTGGCAAACCCTGCAGCAGGGCCTGTGACGAGTGCAGTGACACCTCACAGCCAGGCTCGGGGCAGGTGGCCTGGTCTGAGGTCACTGTAAGCAGAATAGCCTTCACACCGGGACATGCAGGTGTATAACAGAGCCGGGCCCAGGCCAGGGATGATCCATGTTGCAGGGGCTCTGGCCGAGCCTTGGCCATTGCCCTGGAGGACAGGCGTGGGAGCAGTCTCACCAGATGAAGTTTACTTCCAGCGTTTGGGTCTAAATCCCCAAATGCACACAAGGGCTGAAGTGTGGCCTGCTTGCCAACAGGCGACAGAGGCTGCGTGGTATCGTCCCATGTACCGAGGGTCCCCAGCAGCACTTTCCAGCCCTCAGGTTCCATCGCATGGTCTTCTTACGTGGGCTGCTGGGGGTGTCACGGGGGGGGTCACATGGCTGTAAAATGTGTCATCAGGGCCAGGCACGGTGGCTCACACCTGTAATCTCAGCACTTTGGGAGGCTGAGGTGGGTGGGTCACGAGGTCAGAAGTTCGAGATCAGTCTGGCCAACTTGGTGAAACCCCGTCTCTACTAAAAATACAAAAAATTAGCCAGGTGTGGTGGCAGGCGCCTGTAATCCCAGCTACTTCCTTGGGAGGCTGAGGCAGAGAATTGCTTGAACCTGGGAGGCGGAGGTTGCAGCGAGCTGCGCTGGTGCTGTTGCATTCCAGCCTGGGTGACAGAGCAAGACTCTGCCTCAAAAAAAAAAAAAAAAAAAGTG